TGTTGTTAGGAAAAGCATACTGTGACAAAAGCAGCTTACGGGAGAAAGCATCATTGGGGCTCCCAGATCAAGGAAACTGTCCACCATGGAGAGGGCCCTGGCAGCAGATACTGAAGGCTACATTGTGTCTGCAGTGGCAGAAAAGGCCTCCTGCTTACCTAGCTTCCTGCTTTTCTTGCATTCCAGGGTCCAAGCCCATGGAACAGTGACACCCGAAGTGAGTGGCTCTCCCACTGCAGTTAGCCTGATCACAACAATCTTTCATGGTCATGCTCACAGACTAACCTAAATATCCCTCACAGGTGTGCTGGGAGGTGTGTCTCCTGGGCAACTCCAGACACTGTGAAGTTAGTGGTCAATATTATCCATCACAGTACCCAATGCCGATTTGTTAAAACTACAACAAAAAGGATTATTGAAGTATATGATTGATATGTAATAAAATACAAAGATTTAAACTCTTTAATTAAATAGATTTTCAATTATGGATAATTTATGATATCATTATTAAGCCAAAACAACAGATATGTCTATCAAAGCCAGAAACTGCATCTTCATAATTTTTAATTTTTTGTCTTTTTCTTCTATTCTTCCTGTTCCTTTCCTCCATAGGAAGCCTTTGATACATTTTTCATCACTCCACATTAATCCACTTTTTCCAAAGTATTCTTATAAATGACTCATAGTTTATGGTCTTTTTTGGTTTGGTCTTTTCCACTTAGCTTAAGACACTTGAGGTTCATGTAGTTTGTTCCGTCATGTGATTGCTCATCATTAATTCAGACACTACATTTACCTATTGTTTGTTCTTTATCCATTTGCAATTGTTACAAATTACAGATCTCATTAAAAACAGAAATACATTAATCCCACTGGAAAGCTGCTCAAAATGTCAACGCATATATGCCATAAGATACCATGTATTTACCTTGTTAGGAAACTAGTTTTTTGAGCTTTTGGCTGCCACTAGGTAAAAAGGCAGTATTTCACTTTTATGATTTCCAAGGAAACACATGCAATCTGCTAGTGCCTTGGTTCCCAGGTTTTGCTATAAAAATGCATGTGAATTAGTCTGCAGCCTTTAGTGATTAGAGAATAATAAAACTTTGTTTTTACTGGAGAGAACACTGAATCACCCTGTACAGCAAACAGATGTGAAGACTGAAAATAGAAGACACATTTGCACATATTATTTTTAAAGCTACTTCATTTTTCTGCTTCTCGGTAACAATCTGTGATCAGACTTTTCATTAAGAAAGCACCAGAAGTCAGGCTTTTCTCCTCCTGCTCCTCTTTCTCTTCTTCTTCTTCTTCCTCCTCCTCCTCCTCTCCTCCCTTCCCTCCTTCTCTGCCCTCTCCTCCCTGACCTCTGCTCTCTCTCTTTCCTCTCCTCCCGCCTCCTTCTTCACCTCACTAAGGTATCATGTTCCCAAGTGTGATGTGATGACTTAACTGAAGGTGGAGCTCTGTTTTTGACTTGTTAATATTATTTTAAATGTAAAGCAATAAGTCCGGATATCTTTATCAGATTTTTGTTTTTATTTTTCTTATTGTAGATTTATCTGCCAAAATGATTTTTAAAAATAAAGAAGTCTTGGCCCTAAGAACACATTGCAAGTTTTTAGTGTGTACACTCTCTGACATTTCACTGCTTAACATACGTATGCATGTCCCATCGTTGGCTTTACAGACTGAGCAGTAAATTTAAACATAAACAAAATATTCTTTTGTGGTGTGTTCCTGTAATCCCAGCACTCAGGGAGGCATGGCAGGGGGATTGTTGTGAGTTCAAGGCCATCCTGGTCTACAAAGTGAGTCTAGGACAGCCAAAGCTACACACAGAGGAAACCCTGTCTCAAAAACCAAAAACAAAACAACAAAAACCAAATTTTTTGCTGGATATTATCATTAATACTTACCTGATCCAGGTAACTCTAATTTTTTTCTATTTTTAAAATGTAGTATTTAAATGACAAGATTGCTGCCTGGGAGTGGTCAAGCTATGAATATCTAGAATAATAAAAATGTTCACCAGCTAAGTTTCTAAGCTAGCCCATGTGGGAAGGACACAGAGGAGATTGCAAATAAACTTTTAATTTCAAAATGTTCGACTTACTTAACTCTGACATTTGATTTGTTGACATATTTTGTCTGTGGTACTTCGTGGTTGTTTTTTCATGCATTCCCTTGATATTTTGACTCATAAAAGATGCAAGTGTTCACATGTATCAGACATCCTGTGTTTAGCTAGAATTACCTCACTAATTTTTTTTTGCTGTTTCATTGTAAAATAAATCACAATCACTAGAGACTGTAAACACAAATTTCAGACATAGTTCCTAACAAGCACTGTAAGGCTGAGGCAGACTTGTTTGTTACCACTCAAGGCCTTCTTGTGTCTTGCTTTTGTTTTTAATTTTTGCTGTGTCTTTCAGTGGTGGGTTCACTTTCCATTCTTTCCCCCTCTTGTAACTTAGCTGCGGAAGCGCCCAGTCATTTGACTCATAGCATCTTCCATGGTGTGTGATGATTATAGGCTCAGGGTGTAGTTCTGCATGTTCTTTGATTGGTGTTTTTCTTGAAAATTGCTAGTCACATGGCAAAGTCCTGACCATATTGAGGTTGGTTTTCTTTGTGGGCAAGTCAGCAGGTCATATTGTGTTCTTCCATCAGTAAGCAAGTGCCTTACCAGTGTGTGTGTGTGTGTGTGTGTGTGTGTGTGTGTGCGGTGTTACTTTAGGTTTCATCTCTATTCCAACTCCATGGGATAACTTGAGGAATGAAAAATAGATTTTTCTTGCTTTGTCATTTCTTTGTGGGAAGGGCTGAAATGCCCTTTCCTACTCTCTGGATGAAACTTGTGCAGAATATAAGCAAAGGCAAATGAATGCTCAATTGTTCATTTTTGTTATCACTTTTCCACATGAGTCAGCATCCTCTCTATATAGACAATTTTAAAAGTCAATTCATTTGAACTTATGAATTTAAATATATTTATTGTGGTTGCATTTAATCCAGTTCTTCTCCCCACTGAAAAAAGTTTCTTTTCCTCATAGTTGGCTTGTAGAATCCTAGCCATGCACCCTAAGAATTATTTTTAAATGGCTCTAGTTTCAATGTCTGTGATAGCTTTCTCAGTTGCTGGTATGATAAGGTATTCTGGGGTCATCTGGAAGATGGACAAGTCATGAATGTATCCATGAGGGTGCTCTGAGCCAGTGCTCTGACTGGCTGTAAATGAGGATGAAGGGATGCAAATTAGCCACAGGACATGCTGTCCTCTTTTTCAAAAGAAATAAGTCACTCAACAATTACAACAACAACAAAACTTTTTAAAGTAATTACTGCATGCCAGATGTTGCAGTACTTTCTGGGGAATGTGACAGTAGAAAACATACACCCAAGGAGTTTTCAGTCTGACCTGAAAAATAAAACAAGACAAAACATGGTGTCAAGTTACTTTCTGATGTGAGAGTTTTGGCAAAAGAGGAACAGATATTTAAGGGTGAAACATACCCTAACCCCAGGTAATATCCATTCAAGTAGTGAATGCAAGGTGAGAGAAATATAATGGGTAACAGACAGGGTTCAACTAGCAACTGTTCTAGCAAGAACTAGAAGATAGGTAAACTGCCTCAAGGCCAAAGTGACTTTTCTTCCCAGTAAATATAATGTATTCAAGAGAGAAAGCTTGAAATTACTAGATGAATACAATTTTATACATGCATGAATACAAACATCAGCATAGGTGAACTTGATGCCTTTTAATCAGTAATACCACCAATCAATATGTTAACTATCTCACGACCTTTAGAAATCAGCCCTGGTAGCAAGTTCTTTAGGTACATTACCTTATTTGTCTTTTGACATAAATGTCATCAACATATTTTTCTCCACATAATCCATATTTTTATCTGGTATACAAATTGGTGGAGTATACAGATCCTAACCAGACCAGATGAATCTATGCCATTTTTTTTTGTTGTTGTTGTTTTTCTTCACAAAATGACCTTCACAGAATCACCTTTGCTGCCTCATCATTCTTGTTAAAGTTTTTATTCCCAGCACATTTATCCTTCCACAGAACCATCTTTAGTTGATGACATCTGTACATCCTCAAAAGCTTTAAAAAAAAAATACTGAGTTGTGAGCCTTTCCTGCCTTGTCTGTGTCAATGGGAATGAACTTTCTTCACCAGTGATTAGAAGAGGATTCCGGTGATGGTGTTATTTCTTGAAATTGAGCATGATGTATTGTGTTCTGACTCATTATACCGGCAAAAATTTTAACCTCATCAGTTTAGAGCAATATCCAGGCCTTTCTCCACTGTAGACTTTAGTTAACATTACCATGCATTTCACCTTGGGAAACAAATGCTTTAGACTGCTTTTCAAATGTGAAATTATGATTCTGCTGCAAATAAATACAGACAAAATTTTGTTAAACTAATATGTTAGTAAAGGAAAGAGTCAGATGGTAATTTTTAAAACTCTAGATAAGCTAAGTATAGGCAATCAAGTCTAGAATGCTATGATAGGTAGATTTGATGCAAAGCTGGTTAACATCCTGTATATAAAGCAATACTTTTTTTAAGTAGATAGAAGTGGATTGTATCTCTGCTTAACAAAAACTTCACATTCATCCATAATTAGTGAAGAGTGAGTCTTACAAAGTGCATTTCTTTAGTCCTTGATAGCACAGTGTCTGGTATGACAATGGAAGAACATATCATTTTTTTCTCCTCTTAAATAGGATCATAGTGGGTCTTTAAGCCTGAAGATTGTGAACAATTAATAAAGTAAATTCTCTTTTATGTGATACTGTGAGTTTTTTAAATCCCAGTGTAGAACAATTGTCTAATAATCATTTAAATTGAATTTTGATGAATATAAATTGTTTTTATTGGGCATGGTTTACAGATGATGGAGGGGGCTTATATGCTTAATAGATTTAAAATAATTTGCTGTGGAATAAACTCTCTACCTTTTCACATCTACTAGGGCTTTCCAGGAGACATTGGGATTCCTGGACAAAATGGACCTGAAGGACCAAAGGTAAAAATCAAATAAAAACCATACTAAATATAGATACCTAGCGTTTTCTCATTTAATTTTTTTAAGATTTGTTTATTTATTATGTATAGAATGTTCTGTCTGCATGCACACCTGCACACCAGAAGAGGGCATCATATCCATGAATAGATGGTTGGAAACCCCCTGTGGTTGCTGGGAATTGAACTCAGGATCTCTAGAAGAACAGCCAGTGTTCTTTACCTCTGAACCATCTCTCTAGCCCCCTCATTTAAATTCTTAATATGTGTAGAGTAAGATCTTAAGAACACCAGAATTATCAGTAAATAATAAACATCTTGAGTTCAGATTCCAGTCAGTTTTTAATTATTTTCTGAATTTGTTGTGGATGTTAGAGGAACAATGTTTGAAAATCATACACATCATAGATAGCAGTTCAAAAAAATTTAGAGGAGAGGAAAAAAAAAACTAATGAGAATGGATCTTTAAAGTCATAGTGGACAGTAAATGGGAGAGAGATTTCTAATGACTGGAACCCTGCTGCACTGGTAAAACACCTGCTGTTTCAGTATAAGAACATGTGTGGTGTCCCAGAGCCCTTATGTAACATAAGGCACCGAAGAAACCTGAGCCCCATCACTCTGTCTACTGTCCTCTCTGTATGCAGAAGGGTGCTGTTCTGTGTGTGCACAGTACTAAGCACCAAGTTTCCGTGTCAAGGTGTGCCCAGGCGGCCAGGCAGGCTATGTGTCATAAGCAAACATGCACTGGAAACAGAACCACGGAGTGCCAGTGTCTGACATTTGAGGGTGGGGTAGTTAGTGACATCAGGCTCAAGTGGAAAGTGTTGGTGTCAAGTGGAGAGAGAGGAGAAGTCAGGGCAGGGAAGGCTGGACAGCTAATAACAGCTACTTCCGTTAGCTCACTGTGCTGTCCGGTGATGTGTATAGAGGCACAGCAAATGTTTTACTGAAACTAGATAATTTAAGTCTTACATAATGTTATCAAGTAGATAGTACCCCCATTTTACAAATGTCACAAATATTAAGATAGTCATTCAAGGGACAGAGATGGCTCTGTAAGAACAATATTTACCTCAGAGCCACAACCAAGGAATGAGCCCCTAAACCTTCATGATGGAGGGAAAGAACTGACTCCCAAGGCTTTTCTTCTGTCATCCAGATGTTTACCGTGGCATGTACAGGAACACATACATGAACACAGTAATTAAAATTTCAAAAATGTAAAAGGAAGATACCAGGTAACATAAGTGAGTAGCGTAGCCAGGGATTTCACAAAGAGGCGATTGCCAAGTCTGAGCTCTTCACCATTTAGCTTGGGGATCACATGGTCGGGAACACCCGTGATCAGGTGAAATTTCCACTTACCTTCCAGGCATCAGGAAGTAATCAAAGATAGTTAAGTAGCAAATAGGCCATCTGGTTTGCGTCTTTAAAAGATAGCCCTTAAGTCATTGTAAAGGGTAGTTTAAACCAGGAAAAAGTTGAAGGCAAACGAAAGCACTCCACAACTCTAGGTAATGGATGGGCTGGAGAGATGGCTCAGCAGTTAGTTAGGAGCATGTACTGCTCTTGCTGAGGACCCAGGTTTGATCGCCCAAACCATCTCAGGTAATTTACAGCCACCTGGAGCTCTAGTTGCAGGGAGATCCAGTGTCTCTGGCTTCCTAGGACACAGCACTCACTTGTACATACTCACTCACAGTTACACAACAACAACAGTAATTGTAATAATGATAGTAAATCACACACACACAACAACAACAACAACAATTTCTTTTTATTATAAGAAGTGATAAGGGAGGTTCCAGGTAGGCACTGAATGTGTATGGGGTGAGGGTCCTCAGACTGCAGAGCCCGGGGTGTGGGTCTCAGGCTCTGTCTGAGGCTTGGGTGAGTGTCTAACCCTTCCATTCAAGAGAGCAGATCCCCCCAGCTGGGTTGGAGCACAGCATGCACTGTTGGGGACAGGCCTGGAGAAATAATGAAGATCTGAAATAGAACATTTACCCACTTATCAAATATTTACTAGGTGACTTCCAAGTGGGAACCACACTGCTAGTCCCGGGATGGAAAGTCTTCATCTATGTTTTTAAGAACTTTACAGGCTGGCGGGCACACAGAGTAAAGAGCCTGGTAGAGCCTGGTGTACAAGCAAGAGGAATGGGACTCAGATCCCCAGCACTCACAGAGAAAGCTGGGGATACTCGAGGCTTACTTTCCAGCCAATTGCCAGTCTCCAGGTTCACTTAGAGAATCCATCTAAAATTAATTAATTAATTAACTAATTAAGTAAGTAATAGGGTGTAAGTGAGGAAGACATCCAGCAACTTCCTCTGACCTCCACAAGCACATGTACTGCCACACTCGTATACACACACACACCAAAGAAATGTACAACCTATACCATCATACAGTCCTTTTTATAACCATAATGATTATTACACACAGTGAAAGCGGAAACAGCTGTAGGGAAGGTAACGCTTGAACCGACACGGTAAGTGACGAAGAGTTGAGACGCCCACAAGTGGGCCCTGTGACATTCAGGAAAGGGCAGTGTGTGAGGGAATGGAGCGGCAGAAGTGGGAAAGCATTTGAACTAAACGTCACTCAGTGTTTATCCGAAAGCCCAGGGTAACGGTGCGGTGCGCCCTGTGTTTTAGCTGGCAGCTTCGCCCGCCACCCACCAGCACGGCTCCGCGCAGCCATGTCTCACTTCCTTCCCGCGGCTGTGAAGCTGCCTCTGCACCTCCGTGTCCCACACGTGCTTTGCATCAAACCCTCTCTGGAGTCCTGAGCAACCTCGCGCCATCAGTTATACAACCTTTTACCATTTCTCCTTGATTCAAAATTTCCCCTCTTTCTCTCTGAAACCATTTTCACTGCCAGTGTTACAGCTTAGGCCCCCTTCATTTCTATCCAGGATTACTGAGTTAGACCTCCGGTTTCCCTCCCTGCCTCCAATCTGGCAATTCTTCAAACCCGCAGTGACGATGCCAAAAGGAAAAAAATCTGTGGAAAGTATACATCCCAGCCTGCTACTCTTGGGCTTGAGTCTGAGTGCGTCTTTGTGAAGACTTGCACGTCTTTATATTTAACACATGGTTCTCTGTGCTCTAACGTTCTTCTAACTCTGCGGCACACATTTATCATCACTCTCTAAAAGCTCCGCTCCAGCCAAACTTCACAGCTGAACAAAGCATCCTGTACCTGTTCAGAACTCACGGCTTCTTTGATGCTGTTCTTTTATCAGAATGTAACTTTCTGGGCATCTCGTAAACACTGTCCAAGTTTCCTCAATATAAATTCAGTTATATTCCTTCATGTCCCTGAGAAAAATGACTATCAAGCAAGTACCTGCTTTTATGCTTGTCTGGCTCTCTGCTAAACTACAAGGTCTTTGAGAGAAGTCAATTTCTATAAAATTTGTTACAGTGACTAGAATAAAATTCTAGGAGTTTCACGATAGGAACTCAATATTCACTCAGTGGGTGGTTTATCAACTAGCTACAGGTGAAAGTTACTTTAAAGATATAAAAAAAAAAAACCCACAACTTGATTACTAAAGGAAGGTGATGGAAGAAAGAGAAATAAAAGGTGAAACAGACTTTGATTTGGGCTTTGAGCTTTAATGGAAAAAATAAATAGCGAACTTAGGAGAATTTGCAAATCTGGGTTAGTGTGATAACTTATTTTGATGTATAGAAATAATAGCCACTCAGTAAACTAAGATAAAATGTAGACAGAGACAGACAGTGCAGAGAACGGCATTGAGATCCTCTGGTCTACTCTAGCCTCCCCCTGCTTAGGGACTTGAGCATAAGCATCTCTGTTCATTCATTCACTCGTAGTTCATTCATTCAATCCGTATTGAGTGCTCTTTTGGTATTATGTCAGGTACTAAGTGTGAAACAATGACCATTCTGTAACTTCAACGCCTCTTGTGGATAGAGCTCTTATTTAATAAGGAAGATAAACGGTGAGCACACACTGTAAGAGGTACAATATAGAAGAATGATAGGAGCTGGAGAGATAGGTCAGTGATTAAGACAGATTACTGCTCTCACAGAAGACCCGGGTTCAGTTCCCTGCACCCTCGTGGCAGTCACAATGGCCTAGAGCAGCTTCCGTTCCACTTCTGACCTCTGAGGGCTCCTGCACATGCATGGTGCAGACAAATTCATGCAGGCACACACACATTATACCTACATAGAGAAATAGTAAATAGATAACCGTGAGACCCTCAGAAAGTGAGCAACAGACTCGGCTTTGCAAATCAGGAGATGTTCATTGACCTTGACATGCTAGAATGTGTTTCAGGCTGGGCGAAGATCCATATTGCATTTCAGTTTGTTTTGTGAAAGAGGAAAGAACTAAAGCCGGCTGAGCTTTGTAGTAAGGTTGCAATGCTAACCTTAGGAAGTCTCTTCTAGGTAGTTATTTTAGCCTTACAGTTGAAACGTTTAAAGTGGGGGCCGGAGAGCTGGCTCAGCATAAGATGAGTTTATAGGTTCGTTAACACCAACAATGTGCATTTATTGATTTTATATACAGCACTGAAGTTTAAAACAACTTTTAGAAGACGTTATTTTATCAATAGAATCAGAAATGTAATAGTAAGAAGAATATGACTGTGTTTTAAGAATGAGAGATCTGATTTTGTCTATATTCTTGGTCTTTCTCATTGGTTTTGAATTTTTTAAGAAACAGGGCAAAAAAAAGCCAAACATACTTGTGCATATGTATGATATGTTTCTTTAGCAATGTATACCCTACCATAGAAGCATCCTTAAACTTCCTTTACTTTTATTTCATGTCTCATCCAGGAAGTGGAAATAATGTAACTTACTAAGGCTGTATTGATACAGTCATCCAAGCAGTCATGTAAGGGCTGGAGTGATGGCTCTGTGACTAAGAGCACTTGCTTCTCCTGCAAAGGACCCGGATCTTGTTCACAGCACCACATGGTGGTTCCCAACCATGTATGACTCTGTTCTAGGGGAT